AAAACCCCAAACCCCCAACCCCGACCCCAAAACCCCGACCCCAAAACCCCGACCCACAACACCCCGACCCCGACCCAGACCCGACCCTGACCCAGACCCCCAGACCCAGACCCCAGACCCCCCAGACCCCAGACCCCACCAGACCCCAGACCCTAGACCCCAACCCCCAACCCCCCACCCCAACCCCGAACCCCGAACCCGAACTCGAAACCCCCAACCCCCAACCCCCAACCCCCAAACCCCCAAAACCCCAACCCCAAACCCCGGTCCCCCCCGGACCCCCGACCCCGACCCCCGACCCCGTCCCCGAGCCCAAACCCCCGAACCCCGAACCGTAAACCGTAAACCCTAAACTGTAAACCGTAAACCCCGTAACCCCTGAACCCTGAACCCTGAACCCCGAAAACCCCAACCCCAAACCCGAACCCCAAACCCTGAACCCTGAACCCTGAACCCAGACCTTGAACCCCAGAACCCCAGAACCCCAGACCCTAAAACCTAGAACCCTAGACCCTCAACCCTCGACCCTAAACCTCGAACCCGAAACCCCGAACCCTAAACCCTAAACCCTAAACCCCAAACCCTAAACCCTAAGCCCAGGCCCCAAAACCCCAAATCCTAAGAACCCTAAACCCTAGGTCCTGAAACCCCAAAACACTAAACCCAAACCCCTAAACCCTAAATATGTGTAATATAATTAACACTGGGCTAGACCGAACCAATCAATCTGAATACCATGCCCGAAATTCAGTCCAACCTAATGGTCGGGTTGAACCGGGTCTAGTCATGTATTTCTTTGGGTTTATTTTATCAGACTAGCTTATGCATAGCCAAGACTAGGTCCGAGCGAGCAGACCGGTTTATGGGTTTCTTGTGCAGCCCTTGGATAAGGAGTTGGTTGGTAAGTTCAACTTGAAGTTGTAATGGGTATAGAAAGACTTAGTATTTAGTCTTATTGATTGTAATATTGTTGCTGACTGTCTTTTTGTAATTTCCCTAGAAAATTGCCTTTGGGATGGCTTAGAGACACTTAGGTTCTATATGAGGCAAATAGAGTAGTTGAATGGACGCAAGTTTTGTGAAAGGATGTTGTTTGGTGAGAGATAGCCACTTATTGATAGTATGATAGACTGCCAACCTCGCGGTATTAGCTTTGTGCCAATAGAAATTGGTATATGAACGGCGAGACAATAAAAAAATCTTACACTGTAGAATATCGTAGCGAAAAAATACACAAGGATTTTGGCTTTTACCTCCTATTTTGTTGTTATCTTATTTCAACTCTAATCGAATTCGGTTTAATCTTTTTTCAACTTTAATTTAATATATCAATTGATTCAAATATTCTTCATCGAGGCATACTTTGATTCAATTGAATTTTTTGACCTAGAGATGATCTTGCAACAACTATGAAATTAACAATACAAATTCTATTTTACTAAAAATTATGTGCAAGATATGGATCTCAAAATTATTGCGCCAAATTTACATGCTAAAAATTGTAACTTTTCTTTTAATTTGAGTGGTTCAGAAAGACATAATAGAAAGTAAGCTACTCATCTTCCATTTCAATATCAAATGCCCAACCTTGGTTTTCTTGGTCAACGCAAAGTTTCATTTGATACCCGACAAAACTTAGCATTGAGTAAGTCTCTTCTAAGTTGGGATGCGATTTATCATGCGCAATAAATCTATGAAGGACCCCAAATAATTCCACAAAGCTGAAACCTGGTGATTTTTTCACCCCTCTTCTCTCCATGGCTTCTCTCAAGCTCTTTGCATCATCCCATCGTTTCACAACTGCGTAGACATTTGATAACCCAACATACCTTCCATCATGATGAGGTTCAAGCTCAATAAGTTTCTTACCAACTGTTTCTGCAAGATCAAATTTTCTATGGTTAATACACCCATTAAAAAGAGCACCTAACATGGAAGCCGTTGGCTCTATGGGCATTCCACATATAAATTGGTATGCTGTGGCTAAATGACCTGCACGTGCTAGCACATCCACCATACAAGCATAGTGCTCACTTTTGGGTGTCATGCCGAATTTTCTGAGGCTCTCAAAAAAGTACCATGCTTCTTTTACTAAACCCCCATGAGCACAAGCAGTCAATAAGCACAAGTATGTTATCTCATCAGGTTAATACCAACTACTTGCATTTCCATAAACAGTTTAAGAGATTCTTCAACTAAACCATGTGTTGCAAGACCTCCAATCGTTGCATTCCAAATCAGGACATCAGTTTGGGTCTTTGATACACTATGAAACACAGGCAAAGCCTCCTGTATTGCCCCACATTTGGCATACATGTCCACTAGAGAAGTCTTCAAAACCAGGGTCAGCGGTAATTTATTCTCAACTATATACTTGTGGATCATTCTTCCCTTCTCCAGAGCACCTAAGTGAGCACATGCACATAGAACACTCACCATGGTCACTTCATTAGCCTTTGTACCTGAAACCCTCATCTTTTCAAAGATAGCCATGGCTTCTCCATATTCCCCATCTTTAACGTAACCATCAATCAAAGAGCTCCAAGACACGACATCCTTCTTAGGCATTGATTCAAACACTTTCTGTGCCATAACTATTTCTCCACACTTAGCATAGCCATCCAACATGGAATTCCATGAAACCAAGTTCTTCTCTTGCATTCTATCAAACACCTTTCGAGCACATACAATATTCCCACAAGAAGCATACATATGAATCAAAGAATTTTGGATAAATCTATCAGACGCGTGCCCTCTTCTTACAATTTGGGCATGCACAGATACACCGTTTTGTTGATTCAAAAGGCGTGCCGATGCCTTCACAAGAAAGGGGTATGTTAAGTAATCTGGTGAAACCCCAAATCGCAACATTCTCAAAAAAACTGAAAATGAACGGTTTGGGTTTTTACTGATTGAATAGCCTCTAATGATTGTGTTCCAACTGAAAATTGTTGGGTTGGAGAGATGGGAGAAAACCTTGTAGGAATAACTGATGTCACCAGAACTGGAAAGAGCCGAGAAAGAAAGGAGTCTGGAGGTGAATATGTCATCTTGAGATAAGCCAAAAGAGAACAAAATGGCATGAAGTTGCTTCAATTCATGCATTGACTTGCATGTGGTAAGGAGGCTGAGCAGTCGAGTGTGGCTTGTATTTACATTTATACATGAGACTGATGATCCTCCAACCATATGTAAATAAACTTTCTATATTTCTTTCAAAGAACAGAAAAAGTCGAAGGAGGAATCAATAATCCTTGCCGCACCAAAGAGCAGAGTCTTGTAGCAGGATTCAGATAAATGAAGACATAATGTTAACAATTAGCACCTGGCATAGGAATTCGATCCTCTTGTGGGGTTGCCAGTTTCCAGTGGAACGTATTCACCAGCTTTTGGAGTCAAGATGATCCCTGAAACTAAATTTGATTGAACACAGCTTGTTAGAGACAGAGTAAAGGCGATCCGTAAAGGTAGACTCATCTGTTACTACATTCAGCCCCATGATGTGCCCTGTTAGCCGACCCACAGTGAAACCCAAAGTTCTCATTGTAATGGACGTTGCATAATATCTCAAAATAATTTTACTCTATTCACTCTAAAATTAATACACAATACAAGATTAAGAAGAGTGACACTAACAACATTTTAACTTACTTTTAAGCTAACATGCAACACTCCTTCTAATGCTGACATGCTTTTTATGCAAATAGTTAGGTAGATATTAAAAAATTAAATGTCTAATTTGCAAATATTAAAAAAATTAATTAAGTTAATTATTTATAAAAAAATGAGTATTGTTTCTCCAACAGTACCCTTATTAATAATGTGCATTAGAATGGAGACATTTTAACATGTATAATCATCATGGACATTACTTTAAGAAAAAAATGAATCAGGATCTTATATTTAGAATCACATTAAATATTTAATTAGCTATTATATTTAGGATCAGAGGTCATATGTATTTATACATATTTTTTAAAATTGATGTTAATATAGTAATTTTGCATGACCAACTCAACGTATCAATAATGATTAGGGTGAAAAAATCAATATTGACATTAACATACTATCTCTTATTCCGATTCAATTTAATCCTAAATATATAATTTCAATTCATTTTGTATCCAATATTTATTCATTTTGTCATCAATCTCAAATAACTACAAATAACCATTACACATGTTAAGGAGTTACGATCAATAATTCAAATACACATGATTAATAAAGACAGCATAAACATATATTTGTTATAAATAATCTATTAACAATTTTTCTTAACATTCATAAATTAGTTATTTAGCTCTTCTATTAAGAACTAATAGTATTAATCAATAAATAGAGTAAAATACATTTACTACCCTCTATTTTATCTAAATTACAGAAAATGTGTATAAATCTCTCTTAAAATGTATGTTATACGAACCTCCCTTATATGTTTGAGATTCCATTTCTATCCATCCAAGAGTGAAAATAAGCCAACGATTTGTCAAGGACCTGTTGCCCGACATATTTGAAAATAAGAGTAGGCCTACGCCTTTTTAAAGGCCTAATCTTCTTAACAAGCCAGACTTAGACTCTCTAACACGCCTGTTAGGCCTGCCAAATGGCCTCAGCCTTTTTTTTTTTTTTAGAGATTATAATTTTAATTAACTTTAATTAAATTAAAGTTAATTAAAATTATAACCTGTACAAAAAAAATTAACAAGCCAGGCCTAGGCTTTCTGACACATCTGTTAAGCTTGTTAGCTAGCCTCAGCTTGTTGTTTTTTTTTTTTTGTACAGGTTATAATTTTAATTAACTATGTTTTATTTGCTTCTTAATCCTAGTTTTAGTCCCTCCAAAAAGTTATGTACAAATTGTCAACCAAGTAAAAGCTATATATAGTCTAGGAAACACTTAGTACAAACCCATTTAATTTTTGAAACTTTGAAAGGAGTTATACACAGATATGCAGTTTCTGAATATATGGATTTGAGCTATATCCATAATTTGTGTTATGCGCTTGATGCCTTTGAAGTTATTTTTGGGTTGAAATAATAAAGTACTCCTCTAGTTTTAAATATAAAACTGAATTTATAATGTAAAAGTAGGTAAATTACACTATAAAATAAATATCATCCTCTTCTTCCTTAATATCTTCTCTCCCTCTTCTACTTAATTATGATTAAGAAAATATCCATACGGATAATTTAGAAAAAATTAATAAATATAATAAATAGGTCTTGTATTTAGGAACAAAATCAACTCAACAATTAAGTCCTATATTAAAAAATAAAATAGTATATTATGTGTATATGCACACGGGAAGCTGCGATTTGTGAAAATAGGTAAATTACACATGCAATGCAAGGGATACGTGTGTATGTATGTGCTCACCTGTAGGCTTTTGTGGTCACCCAGTAGGTATAGAAATATTTTAATTTTAGGCCTTTTTCTTTGAAAAATAAATGGACTATGTTTCTGACAGTATTGCTAGAGACTTTAATTTAGTATTATCTTGTTAGTTGATTTGATTATATCATATTTTATGTTTGTATTTTAGATTTAGATAATTTACATTGAGTTATTGTAATTTAGAATTAATTTATGAATATTTAAAAAAAAATACATGCTTCTCAACAAGCTTCAGACTAAGCCGAGCATTACTAAATAAAAAGCCTACAATTGGCTACAGGCTAGACTCAGGCCAACAAGTTTCAAAACAGGCCTAACCTGTTAAGAATAATACCTAGTATAACCTGTTTTCATTCTTACATCCATCCATCCGTCAAGTTTAACTTTCGAACTTTTATTTTAACCAAAATATTCCTCCCTAACATACACGTTATTAAACATTTATATTTATTAAAAAAGTATTTTTTTTATACAACAAAAAAGAATTATAATGCATGTATTTTCAAAATTGTTAATATGTTGTAAAATTTATTAATTTTGATTATATTACAGAATTATATAATTTTAATTCTTCATGAAATATTGAAACTCATTTATTTAGATTTCTTTAAAATAGCTAAAAAATATTTTAAATGTTTTTTAATCATATTATATAAATTGTATGTGTTTGAGAAATTATATAAATTATTTAAATCTATCATTTAAAATTTTAAAAAAAAAACTTGTCCCAAACATTTATAACTTATTTGATCAATCATATATTTATTTAAAGAATTAACCAAATTTCCATTCAATTTTTTATGTTTAAATTAAGTAAATTCCTTAATTTTCTGTCTCAAATGATAAAAACATTAAACAAATAACTATTTGTCAAAAAAATTAAGACAAGACAAAAAAAAATCTTAAATTTTTCAAAATAGTTTTAGTCAAAATTTGGGAATTTAATGTTATGAATGGTAAATTAGTAAATAAAAAATATCTCAACATAAATTTTAATTAAAAAAAAGCATCTTTTTATAATATTATTAAGGGCATTAAGAGTTTGAACCTACATGTACATTTCTGAGATAGCAGGAATTTACGTGTAATTAGGACAAAACGTAAGATTAGAGTATTTTACTCTAATAAATAATATTAATATATTTAAATATTATATCTATGGAAGGGGCATGGCAACGTCAGGGATGTGCGAACTGTGTCACTAAAAGGATCTTGATCATATCCAACGACAAAGTCCTGTTGCAAAGAATTGATGAAAAAGGTTGGCCGCGGAAGCCAATCACATGACTTCTACAGCAGACCCGTCAAGGACTGGCTCCTACGGAACCTCAATCCATGCCATTCGAACCCCCAGTAAAGACTACTTTTTTGGGACTCCGATTTGGGAACTCTGGGATAATAGGAATAAATGTATCTTTTATTTATCCACTGATAACCTCATGATTTCTGCATGTACCACTGTTAATCACACCATCAAAGCCAGTGCCATTTTGGAGACTATCGACACTGATACTTTAGCCTTGTACTCGTGTAAATAAATATTCATACATCTCTTTCCACTCAAAAAAAAAAAAATTATGGCCAAAAGCTATAGAGATTATATAACAAATTAAAGAAAAATTAATAATGGATTGCAACAGCGAACATAAATTCAATTCAATTAATAAATGCTTACATCCATTTGCTTTTCTTCCTTTTATTTTCTCAACACGCAAGATGACTAAGAGCAATCACCATTTTGTTTAACAACTAACTTCAATTATCTCCAAGCAACCAGTTAATAGTTTATGGCTAATAGATTGCATTTGAGATTTAAAATGGGACAACCACACTACAAAACATTACTTTAGGGGGGAAAAGGCATACCCGAGGATTTCAATCATCGTCCTCAAAAAGATCGAATTCAGAAGCATCAGGAACATTGTGGTAACTCGTGTATCTTATAATGATAATGGACCAAACAAAAGTCAATGAAATATATTTGAATAAAAACAAACTGAAGTTCCCACTGCCTCTCTATCCCATAATAAGAAAAAGGGAACAACACTTAAAACTGACTCAAGGGGGACAACATGTCCTCCTAATGATCATCAGAACATGAAATTACTTTGATTCCCCTTATAATCACTCAAATGATCATCCCATGAAATTATTCTGATTTTTCAAATCTAAACCAAAAAAAAAAAACCAACTCAAGATGAAGCAAAATAAGGACCACCCACCCTCAAATAAAAGGAAAAATCTGAGGAAAAAAAGGTTCTAAAATCATAGAAAAAATATGCAATTTGATTTCGTAGGATACTGATATCCAACAAGAATCTCTGGAGCCACGTAATACCAGCTCTGCTGTGGAAAGTAAGAATGTAATCAGTCCAATTTAAGGAAAAAAAAAAATTATCATACAAACCGCAATAAAAGTCCACCTCAGAGGTATTACAGTTTGGAGGCCCCTTCAAACTTTTCCAAGTCAATCGAGCGGAGGGAAGTTAAATCTGTCGAACCAAAAGACACATAAAAGGTAAAATTTGTGAGATAAAGTAGACTAAATCATGATTCATATGCAAATAAAAGAAAATAAATCATTATTTTCTACAACCTGGCATAACAAGGTCAAGGAATATTAAAACACATTCCAAAGACCATAATGCCCCCGATAATACCTAACTAAAATAATAAAAATTTAAAATTTATTTAAAATTTTAAAATAAAATTTCAAAACCCTTGACTCTTCCACAAATTCTGGGATTAAATGGTATTATTAAACTAAAATTAAACATAACCACAAGAGGGCACCCTTATATTTCATTTTCATCCCAACCTGTATGTCGGTTCATGAATACTGTTCAAGGGAGAAACCGCCTCGAACTTTACCTTGGAAGTATTCAATATTTTAATTTTCGTCTAAACTTCCACAATATTTGGCTGCATTTAAAGATTCTATAACAACGTTTTTCACTCAGCCTTAGTTTGGACGAGGTAAAACTTCTCCAGGTTTTGTCCAAATAATAAAGTTCTGTAATACATCAGATCTTACAACATCCTACAAGTTTGAAAGAGATGTGATACAGATATTTAGGACTTTCCGTTTTTTTTAATTTTCATTTTTTATTATTCAGTTTATCTTAATTATTTATTTATTTTGTAGTTAGTGACTTAGTAGGCAGTTATCTTAACCCCACTCTCCCACTACTTATTTTCTGATCTTTTATTAATTTTTTTTATTTATCATTATTTTAGGTTATAAAACATTATTAGGGTTTCACTTGGATAATAGACTGGATTATACGATTGAAAGTTACAGACTTATTCCCTCTACTTATTTTCTGATCTTTTTCCTCTTTCTTCCCATTCTTCCATAATTTCCTCTCTTTTCTCCTCAATTTCTCAATTTTTCTTCTCGTTTCACATCAATTTTGGTATCAAAGCCTGGTTGGCGCTTCTGCTGATGAAAGCAGAAAACCATTATAATCATGTTGTCTGGAGCCACGAAGAGGAGGATAAGCAATTAGGACTAAAATAGAATATTTAACATCTAATTTTATCCTTACCTTCTCTTCCATAACTTGCTTGAGACCAGATAGAGCGACAGTCTCAACTTCTTCAAGAGTTAGGTCCTGCAAAACAAACAAATATCATGAATGCCCCATTTTCATGCCTAATGGATGCCTCGGGCAAGAGAATCGGCCAAATAAATAACATAACAATTCTTCATTTTAACCAGGTTGAGTACAACAAGTCACATTGACATCAACAACAACAACATATAAAGAATTGGGAGGAGAAAGGCCAGTTGCCCCTATTGACTCTACCTTTCGTGTTTAGAAATGAATAGCCAAAAGGCACTAAACAACTCTCTAATATGTAGTTATTTTACAAAGCTATAATTTTGACTTATATTTTGCACAATACAGTTAGAAACGGATAGGATCAAATCAGGTTTAAATCTGTTGGGGGGGGGGGGTGTTGAATTTAAAAGGGAGAATGACATTTGTTTCATTTGCATGCAAGGAAATTATTGACATTTTGGTTTATACTTGATAAAAAAAGTTGTGAATATATGTGGTATAGTATGCTCCGATTAGTTTCTTCAGTCTCCAAGGAAAAACTAGAAATCCTACAAGTTTTAAGGTTTGTTATATGCACACAAAAATATCTCAAATATATTTATATACAATTCAATGTGTGCATATAATGTGTGTGCAGGAATGGAGTCAGTGACAGAAGGCAGCAATCGCAGTATTGGTGAGAGGATGAGATTTTTAGGAAGTGTCAACGTGGGCTCTGAACGAACGTTCTCAACAAATTCAAAGATCTCTCTCTTTTCCAATATCGCCAAGCATTTTCAAATATGCACACACCAACTCCCTCACTGTCATATATACTTCATTGCTGCTAGCCTGCTGTTAACTTCTTCCCTCCCTCTCCCTTCTCTTTTCACTATTAAGTTGGATCCAGGTTGTTTCTAATTGAGTTTCTCACATGCAAATGCAAGCCGCATTGCTTGTGTGTATATCGACATTCATGCCTAGTATCTCTCCCTTTCATTTAAGTTTGTTCTAAAATATGCAAATGTAACTTCACTCTATTAATCCTTATATTTTGCATATATCACATTTTTTGGCGCCAATATAGACAGCTCCTTAGTTATTTTAGCTTTAAACTGCATATGAATTTGCATATACCACGTCCACAGAACGGTGTAGATGGTCCAAAGATGCTGATGAAGCAATGAAATTGCATTGAAAAACATGTCACACCGAGGAGCTCGGAAGAAAACAAGAGAAAATATTTCTTAGCCATTAGTTTCTCATCATCTACATTAACAACCACGCTATTACTATTTTTGCATAATTAACAGAAGCCAAAATAACCAGGTCGACAACCAAGATGCCAGTTAAATTGATAAATAAAAACCTGATAAGATGAGTACTGCGTTGTTCTATGTGCAAACGTTGGCATTGATTTTGATATTCGATTTACTTGTACAAAAATATAGTGTTCCAAGATGTACAGATAAATAGTATGCTTATATAGCATTTGAGACAGTTTATTAGTTTAGGAAGCAGAGCCATTATGCATTTCTGAATTAAGAAGAGACATCATGATCTAGCAAAAATCAATATCTGCAAGATTTGATTACAAAGGCACCCAAAAAAAAAATTACCGTAGAATTTGACGGTCGAACCTGCTGAGAAGCTATGCTTGGCACCCTCGTCCGTTCTTCACACGCCAAAATGGAGCTCCAAGTCGACTGCGACAGTAACGACCTCGAAGAATGGAAATCTAAGAAGAAGGCGGAGATGGAGAAGGGGACGCGGAACTCGTGTTCTAACCCCAAGTGCTTCCGCGACAGTGACGAGGTTGAAGAAGAGAAGGGGAAGAAGAAGGCCGAAGGTTCAGGCTACAGAGGTCGAATATGGGAATGCAACAAAGCAAGACGAATCAGAATGAAATGAAAGTCACACCTAGTGGGCCATTTGTCTTGGAGAAGGCCCAAAGTCGTGAGAAGAGTGAGGGAAGATTTGAAGAACCAAGGCCCAGTACAATAAATGACAATCATAATTCATTTAAGAACCAAAGCTGTGGTATTTTATGGACCTAATATAGGTCACATCCCTCACGACATAGGATTGAAAGACCCAAACTTCCTAGGGTGTTTGGTAAAGTACTTTTTAAAAATGTTTTTGTATAAAATGAGACAAACTTATTTATATATTTATTTCACACGTCGTAAAAATACTTCTAAAATTATAACTTAATTTTTATCCAAACATCTTCTAGACAGTGAGTTAATAATTAGTAAGTTATATTAGGATTAAATTAGTCATATTAAAATAATATAATTTAATTGATAATAATAAATTAGAATAATATTCATAAATAATAATCACCCAACAAAATATGAGAAACTATAACAAATAGACATATTGCACAGAGAAATACACATTTTAGCAGAGAAATAAAATTGACCCATGTAAATATCAAAGAATATCTCCTCATATATTTCACTCATTCTTTTTATTAGGTGGTTGCCTGATACGAAATCCAATCCTTCCCATAAATGATGAGGAATCTATCAATGGCGTGACTCCATTCATTTCTTTAATCTCCATCTACTCACACTCCACCCAGCTTTCAATTCTTCTTATTGGATCCACATTCCCACTTCAACTCGAGTGTCCTTTATCTTTTAAGTTAAAAAGGGTTAGGACTGCCTATATTTTCTGACTCCAAATCATCCATGGATCTAGTCCGGTTCCACCTACAAAGAAAACATAAACAAAACTAAGGCCGTGTTTAGATGTATCCCCAAACCATGGGGAAAGAAATCAGCCAAACAGAGGGGCAAAATATGAAACCATGATTTGGGGTAAAATCATGGTTTTGAACCCCAAAACCATGGGTTCGATGGAAGTGATTTGAAGTTACTTCATACTCATATTTTCCAGACGTTAGTGTGGACCCAACAGCATATGACAAAACAGCCCCATAATTGATAGCTCACTCTTCATTCCACACTCAGTCCTTCACTATTTAATCTTATAATTTATAAAGATATATACATATTAATTATTTATTAATTATATTATCTTATATATTATTAATTATGTTAGTAAAAATTATTTTATTAACAATTTTATTTCTTCAAATCAAAATATATTATGAAATTTATCCCTTATATAATTATCATATTAACTTATGATTTTTTTAGTAATTTACATATGTAAAAAGCGTTTCTGGTAACAATTATCCAAACACTCTCACTTCTCCGGAAGCTATTCTCTTAACAGTGATTTGGACTGTGTTTGGGTGACACCCCAAACCATAGTTTGGGGAATAAATCACCCAAACACCCACTCAAAAACCAAAACCATGGTTTTGGAAAAAGTAAAAAATTTTTGCTTTTGGAGAAAAAAAAGGAGAGTGTGAGAACCTATAGGATATGTATCTTGTTATTTTTTTTTATAAACATATTTTTTATAAACATATTTAATCTTATATTTTATAAATATATATACATATTAATCATTTAGTAATTATATTATCTTATGTATTATTAATTATGTTAATAAAAAATATATTATTAACAATTTTATTCCTTCAAATTAAAATATATCATAAAATCTATTTTTTTATATAATTATCATATTAACTTATGTCTTTTTTTTAGTAATTTGTATATATAAAAAGTGCTTCTGATAACAACTATCTAAACACTCTCATTTCTCAAAATCACTTTTTCATAAAATCTATTCTTTTCAGAATCTATTCTTCCCAGAATCTATTCTCCAGAATCACTTTTTCAAATTACGATTTGGTTTCATCCACACACACCCCAATTGGTTTCAATCACCTAGTCACTTTGCTTGGAGGTTTTCGTTGTCTTTGTCAAGTTATTTCTTATACTTTTGAACTACTTTTAAACCCGTAAATGGCATACATCGAGTGAGTCATAATCAATTAATATATCCTTTTACAAGTATATGGAGTATGGACTATTAATCTTCACTGTATGCGCAAAGAAACGAGAAGCTTGCTGTGCCAAGGTTCATAGTCAGTCATCCCAGAGACCCAGAGCATATCTAACTAAACGAAAAGAAGAGCACAGAAGCGGAAAAATAAAAAGAATCTCGTTCCAAGCTCCAAAATGGCAGAGATGATTTGTTATCTTACAAGTAGAAGGAAAAAGGGAAACCTCCGAGTTTGCGACCGTGAAGAACAAGACGACTTGCAACCGGGATTGAAGAACAAAGCAGGCGACTTGCGACCGCCACAGAGCAGAAAAATCCGGCCAGCAATTTAAGGACTTGCGCGATGAAGTGAATATTGATGCTTGAAGATGAGAGGCTGCTTTCAAGATGCTAGGGATTTCAGACTTGGGGGAGAGAAAGAGAACACGGTGAACGACTGTGTTTTATTTAACGTCGTTTTGTAAGCTGGACTATTAAAAAAATTAAGGGAAAATTTTAATTAAGGACCACAGATATGGGAATTAATTTCAAACAGCTCCAAAAAAAAAGCTGAAATTTCAGTTAACGATTATGAAATTTCACTAAGGACCCACATGCAAACTGAAATTAATTGCTAAAGCTATTTTACTGAAATGCCCTACGTACTATATCTGCTGAAAAGGAAAAAGAAAGAGAGAAAAAGAACAGTTTCATGCGTGAGGTAAACGTTTTTTCTAAAATTTTGTTCTGTTGAGCTGATTGTTAGGTTGTGATAGTTGAATGATGTAGAAATGAGTGTTTAAATATATGGGTAAGTAGATAGTGAGGTAGAAAAAAATCTGATTTAGCTTTTAAATTTAGAGAGAGATTGTTATCTTCTTCTTCTATGGAGTTAATAAACATGAAATGTTAGTGATTTTTGAAAAGTGGGTGAGAATGGGGGAACGCTGACTGTAATACGTTGTTGAAGGAACTCAGGAAGGTAGAACTAAAAGGAAAATGGGTGAATGTGCTAAAATAGCTGATATAAAAATAAAATGTGCAAAAAATGGTAACTTGCAGTTGTGAAAATATGTATTCGGATTGTAAATTTGCAAATTGGAGTTGTGCAGGAAAATGACAATTTAATGTTATGAAAACCAGTATTTCTGTTGTAAATCTGTAAATTCCTATTGTTAACGGATACTATCTATTATTATTGAAAGTTGATTGAAATTGATAGTTGAACGATGTGTAGCAACGGATTATAAATAGCTACTGGTGGTGGGAAACAATGAGAAAGACTTGAGACAAACGTCACAATTGGACAGTGCACGAGAGTAAGTGGGCATATTTGTTAGCGGGTTGTAATCTTTTTCGTATAATAAATTGATAGTTGAAATATTTCATGACTGTACTTGATGACAAGCTATCCCAAGTTTTGCGCTAAAATTGACCGGTAAAACTGTAAATGTATGAAAGATTTTGTCTATTTGTGAGTAGATGTATTTCTGTTGTTAATTTATGTATTGTTTTTGCAAATTCTCTAATTCCTATTGTAACGCACGTATCATTTTAGCACATTTCCTAACTCCTGTTGCCAATTACGTAAATCCACTAACAAATACACGAGCTCCTGTTCTAAATTTCCCAACACCTTTTGCAAATTGTCTAAACCCAATCGTGAACACACTTGACAGACTCTAGTGTGATGATTCAATTATATTTGAAAAAACCACTTACAAAAACAGGAGCCCCTGTTGTAAACTTAGCTATTATTGTTACAAATTCCCTCATTTTAGTAGTCAACGTTTGCACTCAAACTATGAAATTTGTGGGGGAAAATATATTATCATCACTAGACATGCAATAAACACATAATATATAATTCATTGCACTGAAAATGAAATTGTGGGTAATCGTTATGCATAAAAATTAATACATCCTTTGCTAATATAAAAGACATCTTGAGCTCACAATCCCTCTTTAATTTCTCTTGGTTGTGTCTGTATCTTTGCAAGTAGTTGTACAACAGCTGTCAACCGTGTATTTCTTGCATCAGTAATGAGCCGCCACAACAAGTCTGACCTTAGGGAACTGAGTTCTTCCTATTGCACAACATTAAAAACCATCAAACAAGGAACACAGTAGAGTACAAAATTGAAATGTAAAAATAATGCATTTATAGATAAGCACTTAATCAACTCATACTTCTACAAAATAGTTGTTTCCCGCCACCAATAGCTATTTATAATATGTTGCTGCACATCATTCAACTATCAATTTCAATTAACTTTCAATAATAATAGATAGTATTCGTTAACAATAGGAATTTGCGGGCTTATAATAGAAATGCCGGTTTTCATAACATTAAATTGTCATTTTCCTGTACAACCCCAATTTGCAAATTTACAATCCAAATGCATATTTTCACAACTGCAAGTTACCTTTTTTTGCACATTTCATTTTCATATCAGCCATTTGAACACACTCACCCATTTTCCTTTTAGTTCTCTCTTCCTGAGTTCCTTCAACAACGTATTACAATCAGTGTTCCCCCATTCTCACCCACTTTTCAAAAATCGCTAACACCTCATGTTTATTAACTCCAAAGAAGAAGAAGATAACAATATCTCTCTGAGCTTAAAAGCTATATCATATTTTTTCTCCTCACCATCTACCAATGCATTTAAACACTTATTTCTATATTATTCAACTATCACAATCCAACAATCAGCTTAACAGAACAAAATTTTGGGGAAAATTGTTTACCTCAGCACGAAGCTGTTCTTTTTCCCTCTTTCTTCTTCCTTTTCCCTCTTTCTTTTCCTTTTCAGCAAATATAGTACTCAGGTTATTTCAGTAAAATGGCTTCAACAATTAATTTCAGTTTGCCTCTTGGGTCTTTCAGTGAAATTTCAGAATCCTTAACTGAAATTTCAGATTTTTTTGGAGGCTGTTTGAAATTAATTCCCATCTACGATTCTTAATTAAAATTTTCCTAAAAATTAAACCAAATAGGGTTAGCACATGTTTGGATTGATGTTTTTAACAAAAAACATGTATTGGAACTAGGCAAACGACATTGCTAACAAGTGAATGTTTAAACAAGTGTTTAGGTCAACACTTTTGCAAATGAACTTTTGGGTAAGAAAGCCAGCCCAATGCAAAAGCGAATTTTTTGGGCTTTTGCCATCACAACATGAAAAGAGAAAAGAAGACAATAGAAAAAGATAAAATTACT